GCGTCGGGGAGGGGGACGATGCGGATGTGGAGGAGAAGGCGGAGAGGGGGTAAAGACAGGAGGAGCAGGAGGAGCAGCAGGCAGGAGGGGGAGGAGGACGGGGGGAAACGAGGACGAGTCTGCAGCCATCGTCGCGAAAGTGTCGACGTGCCTCTGCCACCAGTCAACATCGTAATCAGACAGTGCACCGCCTCCTCACGCCTCTCACCCCTCCCGTCGGACAGGGGTGGGGGATCGTCTGGGGCATGGCCCGTCCTGGTGCCCTGGCCGTCTGGGTGCCCCGGTCGCCAGCGTGAGCAACGCCATGCTTGGCCTGGCCGGGCGCTTGCCTGCGCGCCTGGACCCAACCCGTCTCCATGGCCCAGGCGCCCTGGGGCAAGAGCAAGCTGGACGTGCAGGAGTACACATGGTTCATTCCTAGTTCTTCGAAACAGTTCTTCGATCTTTTGGGGGGCCAAGATCCTTCCATTGCTAATTGTTCCATCCTGGGCCTCTTCCTGGCCACTGGGGGGCCAGGAGCAGGTAGAAACGAGCACAATTAGAAACAGCACGAGACGCGAACGACGTGTACCACTGCGAGTTCCCGACGAAGCCCGTGCCTGCTGGTAGAGCCCACTGGCTAAACAGGGAGGCCAATGAGCGGGCCCGCGAGTTTCGTAGACTCCAGAAAAGGGGTTTGGGAGCTCGTCTCAGAGGAGCGCGTACTACATCGAAGCCCTCCTTCTTCATCCTGAGCATGTCACTTGTCATGTCGGCGACAGCGGTCGCCGCGATGAGGCACACTGCAGGGGTGCTCGCTGCAGCGGGCTTGCTGCCGTCGTCCTCCTGGATCCGGTGGCCATCGTCCCAGTGGCCATCGTCCCAGTGGCCATCGGAGATCTCCTGGGGCTAGATATGACGAGGGCGACGATGTTGATGATGGCGATGATGGCGAGGAGGAGGCCGACGAGAAGGACCAGGAGGAAGATAGGGGTGAAACCACCCAGGTCAAGTTCTGAACACAACGCAATGTCTGCGCAATGTCGGACGCAGTCTGGTAGCGCTTCTCGCCCTTCGCCAGTTACTTCGCCAGGCAGAGTGCAAGGCGCACATCCTTCCTGGTTGCGTGACCTAAGTCCATCCTCGTCTGAGGTATCAAGCTATTTCACAGGTGCCCTGGCACCTGCCATCAGCTGATCGGCCGCTTCTACTTCGCTGCGGCCCTGGGCGTCAGTGACCACGATCACGTCAGAAGGCTTGGGCCGCCCCACCGTTGCAGGGCCTGCGTGGGAGTAGCAGAGAAGGGTGAAAGGAGAGATGGCTGCGGGCGGCGGTGCCGCAGTCCACACCGCATAAACGAAGCGCGCGCACCATGGGCAGCTCATGTGACACGCGCAGCAGCTCATATGCAGCGCCGCGCTGCAATGACAAACACATCCAGCAACCTGCGCTGCAACGCAGCGCAGCGTGCAACCATGCGCCGCACGCGGCTTTGCGTGACAACGCCGAGGCGTGCCGACAGGCTGATGGCCAGTCTTGCACATCCCGTCGACAACTTTCGAGCCCACGAAGATCGCTTTGATGAGGCTCGTGGTCACGTATGAGTCGCTCTCGTTGTTGTTGGCCCCACTTGCTGGCGCTGATCTTCTTCCAGAACTCGGATCCTAACATGATGGTCTGCCCCGTGGCTTCCACTAGCGTGAAGGTCTTCAGCGTATTGTCGATCACGTACACTCCCCGTTCGAGGGGTCCTTTTCCACAAGCTTGCAAAGTCCCGAGGTCCGCGATGAGCACGGCGGGTTCGCATGGGCCCCCTGCTTAACGAGATCCTTCCAGTCTGGGTTCGGTATTCCGTCTGAGAGGCGGTGGGCAACACGCATCCGCGCGCCCGTTGCCCCACGCATCGACAGCATGCGACACATGCCAAAGCGCTGCCGCGCAACACCGAATGCAATGCAGACACGCACACGCACGCACGCACGCTCATACGCACACACACACACACATACGCACACACACACACACACACGCACGCACACACGCACGCACACACGCACGCACGCACCGACACACGCACGCACGCACGCACGCACACACACACACACCCACACACACACACACACCCACGCACGCACGCACGCACGCACGCACGCACGCACGCACGCGTACACAGACACAGAAACTGACACCGAGACACGTACACAGCCACACACACCACACATACATACACACCATACATACACAATCCAACACAGGCACACTCGTATACACCACACAACACACAGCACACTACACACAGCACACGCAACACACACGCAACACACAACACAGCACATACACACCACACACATACGTAGACACGCACACAACACACACAGTAATACACACAAACACAGGCATCACCGCAAACATACACGAACACAAGCACAAACACAAACACAAACACACACACACACACAACGCACGCACACACGCACACACACACACACTACACAAGAACACCCTCTCACCGTCCCTGTACCCCGCGATCCCCGCCTCTCTTGCATTGCCGTCACCGTCGGCTAGCGGATCGTCTGCAGCCGATTGTCATGATCTCGGTTTCGTGCACGGCCTCCCAAGCGTCCGCATTCAGTCCTCTGCACGACTCTGTTCAGGCCCGCCAGGCAGTCAGTGTTCTTATGACAAGCCTTGTGGGGCGTGTGGTGCAGGATTCAGCCAACTCTGGCTGGGTTGCCATCAAGCGCTGGCCGTTGATGAAGCCGCGCTTGTCTGCGAGCGCTTTCACTGCCGTGGGCACTTTGGCGATGACGCAACGCAGGAACACGTTAGTGTGCGAGCCGCCCACTGGGATGAAGCGAACCTCCATCTTCGGAGGGCAACGCCCTCTGCTCAGCCACGACAGCAATTCCTTTGTGGCCACGGCGTCGTCGTGCTCGGACTTGCCGCGATGGGATTCGAACTTGATCGCTTTCTGCGCGTTGGATAACATGAAGTCTTCGGCAACGTCTTCGGCCCTCGTCGGGCTCACGAGCCCGCCGCTCATGTTCTCCTTGGCGCAGCCCATCTGTGGCGGCGGGATCTCTGGCGCATACAAGCGATATTTTGCTGCAGAAGGTTCTTCATGGTGTCCCGGCCCGACACCAGGCGACCACTCTACTTGTTGGCAGACATAATCTGCTGAATGGCGTCACTGCGGAGCGACGAAAGGCGGGCATAAGTCGCTGCCTCCGCCGTCGCTGCTGCGCTGCAGCGCCTAGATCGAAGGGCGCGCGCGCACGGCCTCAAGCTGCAGCTTCGCGCGCGCGCGGGGGTATGAGGGCGGGGCGGGAGGTGCAGCATGCGTAGGCAGTCGCCCCAGCGACGTTCACACATCAACCGAGCCAGGCCCAAACATAGCAGGAAACACCGCGCAAATGCGCCTCGCGCTGCAACGCGTTACAAGGCTTCATCGCAGAAGCATCCAAACGTTGCGCGCAGCTCAATGTGCTGATGTTGTTGCGCGCTGCAGCGCGCTACAACACCAATGAAATCATGTTGTTTAATGCGCCGCGTTGCAGCGCAATTTGAAGCATTCACAATACCAACGCTGAAACTCTGAGCACAGGTGTTAGTATTGAAATTCCGCTGCAGCGGAATGAAAGCCGCCCCCTGCAACCAGCTGTCATGGAATAGAAGTCGAAAGCACACACCTAAAAATATCACGCAACATGCATGGTGACCCAGACGCCACTCATCTTAGGTAATTTTAACAAACAGAGAGGTCCAATGCTCATATTCGTGGTCAACACCAAGGCGCCACGACGCTGGACCGAAGCATGAACGACCCATCGCCGTCCTGTCTTCTCAATACCACAATCGGAGTTACTAATAACAGGAATTCCAGGCTTACTGACAACGTACTAACCACTTCCTACCCATTTGCTAACTTAGTTGAGCCACTTAAAGCATACATCGCCAATATGTTACGACCTACCTAGCAAGTGGTTCGTAAGTGTGACCACCCACTGAATAGCCAGTTACGTAGCCACTACGAGCGATTTATAAATACTGTCTTTTGCTAAGTAAGCTATCCGTGACTTTGTTACGTAGGTTGCATGTGTGGCTTAGCTATCTACTAAGCTAGCCTCTATACTTGGTTAGAAGTCTTGAGCACCCATGCCGCGCGCGGCGGGCATCAAAGCGGGGAGCCTTCCTTGGCAGTCCAGGACGTCCGGTGGCCGCCGCGGGGGCGTCGAGGCGCGGCCCCACGCGTGCGCAGGCGCTCGGTCGGAAGGCCGCCCCCGCGAGCACGCCGCGCCATTGCCTCCCCAAGACCTCCGGCGCCTTGAGCCAGCCGAGAGGCGGCCGTCTTTCGCCGTTCTCGGCCTCCGCGGGGCGGGGGCCATCGTGGAGCCCTCGGGGCCGTCAACGAACGGCTAAGCTAAGGGCGGAAGGTCGTGGCTTCTGGTCGGAGGGCACCAACTATACACCAACACCGATCCTGGCCCAGGATCACCCTGGGCCCAGGATCGGTGTATATGCCTTCTTGCGCAAGGCAGGAGGGCGTACACACCGATCCTGGGCCCAGGGTGATCCTGGCCAGGATCGGTGTTGGTGTATAGTTGGTGCATTCCTATCTGGGGGCCCCGCGTTGAAAGGATCAAGGCATGGGATCTCAGGTTTCCCGTCTCCCGGTCTCCCCGCCGCCTCGCTCTCCTCGCGGCCCTCGCTCCCCTCCGTGCTGCTCCTGCGTCGTCCTCCCTCCTCTCTCCACGCTCCTCGCGCCTCGCATCTCAGGGAAAGGGGGGCCCCGGGCTCCTGGTGAAGGGCCAGTCACCCGGCTTCTCTGCCCTCTCTCGCTCTCTTTCGTTTTTTTGTTTTGTTCTCTCTCCCTCTCTCTTCCTCTCTCTCCCTCTCTCCCTCTCTCTTTTTCTCCTCGTTCATGACTAAACGTGCGGAGTTGTTTTCTCGTCATACTTCCGCTTGTCGGCCCGCCCGCTTGTCGTCCCGCTCGCGCTTCTGCCCGGTCCGGGCTTGCAGGC